TTTCTTTAGATTAGCTCTATGCTTAATGCGAGGCATGGTTGTTGCTAGGGTTTTTGGGTTTTCTGAGAAAAAGGGAGACGAAGTTTTGGGATGTTTATGAGGGAGAGAAAAGATGGTTTTGGGCAGAGTGAGGGAAGGTAGTGGGGAATCGTGGCCTTTAAAAGGAAAGTAAAAGAAACGGAATTTGAATTCACCCAAAAAGAAATAAAAATCCCAATTCAAAATTTCCTTCCCAAATCAAAAGAGATTTTACCAAATCGTCATAATTAATTCCCCTTCCCCATATATCGGAAACGACAAACCTCTCTCTTGTAATGGTGTAGCCGTTTTTTTCCCTTTAATTAGCCTCTCTACATGCCAGCCACACTGTTGCACTGCCACCTGCTTTCTCCCTACGTCATCAACAACTCCTCATTGCTGCTGCCGCCATCCTTTAATTACCAACTGCTCATATTGACTTCAACCTTATCCCTAAACCTAAAAAAAAATGAAATTAACTTATGAATATGAAATGAGAAAAACTTAAACTATGCTAAGCGGAATTGAAATTATGGGAGCATGACGAGGATTTAGCATTGACTTCTGCTCATTTATTCCTCTATTGAATCTGTTTAGTCTGTCGCGAAATGGTGGGCCTCAGCATCGCGCACCACGCTTCCTCCATAAAAATGCTTCAGCCTTTGGCCGTTTACCGTAAATTCCCTCCCTGAGTCGATCTCTTGCATTCTGATGGCTTCATAAGGGTACACATGCGATACTAAAAATGGTCCAGACCATCTCGATTTGAGCTTCCCTGGGAAAAGTTTTAGCCGTGAGTTGTATAGCAAAACTTGTGGTCCTTTTTTGAATTATCACGGCTCGATTCGTGCATCGTACCCGTCTTTTGTTTTCTTCTTATATATTTTGGCATTGTCATACGCATCTCTCCGAAACTCTTCCAACTCTAGTAGTTGCAAACGCCTCAGTTCTCCTGCTGCGGCATAATCCAGATTCAGCTTCTTTATGGCCCAGCATGCCTTATGCTACTGCTCTAACAACAGGTGACATGGTTTTCCAAAAACTAATTTGTACGGAGATGTTCCAAAGGGTGTTTTGAATGTAGTGTGATAGGCCCATAAGGCATCATCCAACTTCATTGACCAGTCTTTTCTATTTGTGCTCACAACCTTCTCTAAGATGCTTTTGATTTCCCTGTTGGATACTTCAGCTTGCCCATTCGATTAGGTATGGTAAGCTATAGACACACTTTATGTCTGATATTGTACTTAGCAAGAAGAGAGGCTACAACTTTGTTGATGAAGTGGGAGCCTTCATCACTGATCACAGCTCTAGGGGTGCCGAACCTTGTAAATATATGCTTGTGCAAAAATTTGGCGACCAGTTTGGCATCACTGCTGGTACACACCACTACCTCGACCCATTTAGATACATAGTCAACTGCTAACAGAATGAACAAGTGTCCATTTGATGGAGGGAAGCGTCCCATGAAATCCATGCCCCAGACATCGAAAAGCTTCACCTCTAAGATGTATGTGAGAGGCATTTCCGATCTCTTGGAGATGTTTCCAACCCTCTGGCATTCGTTACAGTGTTGTACCAAAGCGTAGGCATCTTTGAAAATAGTCGGCCAAAAGTACCCACTCTGGAAAACTTTTGCCGATGTCCTCTGCCCTTCAAAGTGCCCCCCATATGGTGCAGAATGGCATTTGGTTAGCACCTGCAGTGCTTCAGCATTGGCGACACATTTTCTGATCATTTTGTCTTGACATACTTTATAGGGAAATGGGTCGTCCCATAGATAAAATTTGCAATCATGTAGAAACTTCTTGAGCTGTTGCTTGTTCATGTCAGCTGGCAATACTTCACTAGCTATGTAGTTAGCTAGATCGGCAAACCATGGCTCTTCTTCCTCAATCAGGGCTTCAATCGCCAATACTTACTCATCTGGAAATGTTCCTCTTATCTCTGATTCGTCCCTTAAGGTTCCTAGGTCCGTCAATCTGAACAAGGGGTTCGCAACTAAATTTTTCGTTCCTTTCTTGTCCTTCATTTCTATATCGAACTCTTGTAACAACAAAATTCAGTGAATTAACTCCAGCTTAGCATCCTTCTTGGTGAGCAGATATTTTAACGCTACATAATCTGTATAAACAGTCACCTTGGATCCCACTAGATATGCTCTGAACTTCTCAATGGCCAACACCACTGCTAATAGCTCTTTTTCTGTGGTGGTGTAGTTGATCTGCGCCTCTATCAAAGTTTTGCTGGCGTAATATATCGAATGCAGCAACTTTTCTTTTTGTTGAGCAAGGACTGCTCCCACAGCATAGTCGCTGGCATCACACATGAGTTCAAAAGGGTTTGTCAAATCTAGTGCTGTTATTATTAGAGCATGGGTGAGAGCATGTTTAAGTGTTTCGAACACCTGTAAAGAGTCACATGTGAAGTTAAATTCCTTGTCATTTTCAAGTAAAGAACAAAGAGGTTTAGAGATTTTCGAAAAATCCTTTATAAATCTGCGATAAAAACCGACATGCTCCAGGAAGCTTCGGATGCCCTTGACATTCACAGGTTGGGCAGTTTCTCTATTGCCTCTATCTTTGCCTTGTCTACTTCTATGCCATTGCTGGAGACTCTGTGCCCTAGAACAATTCCCTCCTGCACCATGAAATGAATTTCTCCCAATTCAATACCAGGTTAGTCTCTTCGCATCTTTGCAGCACCTTCTTCAGATTATCTAGGCACTCGACAAATGACTTTCCAAAGACTAAAAATTCATCCATGAACACCTCAACCACTGATTCTACCAAGTCAGAAAAGATGGCCATTATGCACCTTTGAAATGTTGTTGGGGCATTGCAGAGCCCAAAGAGCATTCATCTGAAAGTGAACGTTCCGTAAGGACAGGTGAATGTCTTCTTTTGCTGATCTTGTGGGGCTATCATAATCTAATTATATCCGCTGTACCCATTTAGAAAGCAGTAGTATTCATGGCCTGCAAGTCTATCTAGCATCTGGTCGATGAAGGGAAAAGGAAAATGATCTTTCTTGGTGGCTTTATTTAGTTTGTTGTAATCCATACATATATGCCATCCTGTCACTGTCCTTGTGGGTAGCAACTCATTCTTCGCATTCTCTACCACAGTCATGCCCCCTTTCTTAGGTACACACTGCACTGGGCTTACCGATTCACTGTCAGAAATGGGGTATATAATGCCTGCATCCAGCCATTTAATAATCTCCTTCTAACTACTTCATTCATTGCTGGATTAAGCCTACGTTGGGGCTTTATGAAGTTCTTGCACGCGTCTTCCAACACGATCTTGTGCATACACAAACTAGGGCTTATTCCCCTAATGTCGCAATAGTCCATCCAATGGCCTTCTTATGGGCTTTTAACACGCCAGCAACATCTGCTTCTTCTCTATGGCTAAGTCTACTGCTATTATGATTGGCACCGACGAAACCAAGTAAGCATATTTGAGGTGTTGGGGCAATGCTTTAAGCTCGAGCAACGGTGGTTCTTCTACGGACGAGTTCAGAAATTTATACTCATGATTCGCCATGTCCAGAGATTCGCGTATGCTTTTGGCTGATCTTTCGCTGCTATTTAAGTAAATAACCTCTTGGTCTTCCTCTATGTTCTCAAGGTCGCTTCCAGAGTCGACCACTTCTAGATGCTCTAGCATGACTTCTGCTTCCATTTCTTCCATTAATGCCTCATCCAGGATTTTTATCACAGAACAATCTTTTGATTCAGGTGGAAATTTCATAGAGTCGTATACAGAAAATTTCACTTATTGATCTTGAACTCGCATCGTCAGCTCTCCTTTGTGAACGTCTACCAGCGCTCTCCCTATCGCAAGAAATGGCCTCCCAAGGATGATAGGGACCTCCTTATCTGCATCATAATCCAAGATAATAAAGTCAGCAGGGAAAATAAATTTATCAACTTGTACCAAGATGTCTTCAATTTTTCCTTTCGGATGCGTGATAGACCGGTCCGCAAAATGCAATGTCTCCGTCGTGGGCCTCGCTTCTCCTATACCCAACTTGTTATAGATAAATAAAGGCATGAGGTTGATGCTGGCACCCAGATCACACAATGTAAGCCCTATTTGCTGTCTTCCAACGGAAACGGGTATAGTGAAACTTCCAGGGTCCTTCATCTTTGCTAGAATTTTGCTTGTGAGGATATTGCTGCAAGCCTTAGTCATCGCTATGGTCTCATACTCTCCCAGCTTCCTCTTTTTAGTGAGAATCTTCTTTAGGAATCTTACGTAATTCGACATTTGTTCTAGAGCTTCCACCAAAGGTATGTTAACATGTAGTTACTTCAGCACATCTAGGAACTTTTTAAACTGAACGTTTTGCTCTTTCTTCTGCAACCGCTTAGGATATGGCAGTGCCGGCCTATATTCTGCTGGAGCATCTGCATGCTCTGTCTGCTTTCTTTTTTCAGGCATTCTAATCTGTGTTAATTCTGCCCCGGAAGTGTTGATTCTTACTGGGGTGCCCTCAGCTTTAGTGCTGTCTTGAACTTTCCAAGGTTCCTCCATGATCCGCACTGGGGAAGTGGGTAAAGCTATCTCTGCTGGCTCATTATTCTTCGCTAATTGAGATTCTCCTGATTCTTTCGGAGTGGGCTTGCTCACTGCCTCTGGAGCATTCGGGTGTGTTGGAGGTAATGCCTTACCACTTCACAATGTGAGGGCATTACATTGCTCTTTACCATCCCTCTTTGGTACTTTAGTGTCGGTCGGCAATGCTCCATAAGGTCTACTCTTCAAATCGGTTGATAACTGTCCTACTTGCAATTCTATATTTCTTAGTGATGCGGCTTGACTTTGCATAGTAGCATCGTTATTGGCCATATATTGCTTCATCAATTTTCCAATGATGCAATTGTTCCTTCTGCGGGCTTCTGTGCTACCACCAGACCTTGATTCGAAAATCTTTGGGGATAATTCCCTTTCGGCTAGAACGCTGAGCCATTAGAGGTGTCGGCATTATTTCCTCCCTGATTACCACTTCAACTGAAATTAGTGTGGTTTCTCCAGCCGGGGTTATACGTATTGGAATATGGGTTGTTTCTGCTGCTCGACATGCCATTTTGGAGATCGACGAGCCTCGTTTGAGTGACGCGATACGTTTTGGCATTGACCCACAACCGTTCGAAGCCCGATTTAGGCTATCCACACCTTGGCGAGCTAGATCTAAGTTACCCACACCCATACGAAGTCGATTTTGTGGTAATGAGTCATTTGAACCCTCTTAGAATTGATTTCGAAGGCTAAATAGTATACGTAATGACTGGGTGTTTATGCTGAACGCACGCACTAAGCGTGGTAACAATTATATAGATGCAAGCGCACACCTGTCAGAGTAATATAAAATGGATGGAGTATCCAAGTATCGATCCTCAAGGACTTCTAAATAATTTCCAAACTCTAAAGTTTTAAAGAATAGTGAATGTTGAAATGAGTGATTCTTGTAAAATGGGAAGTGGTCACAGATAATGGTTTTGGATTTGAGATTTGGACTTATAATGATAAAACCTAGCCCGAATTACTTCAAGTTAGCCAACAAAGAATCAAGGATATGCTAAGGACGATATGCATTTCACTTTAGGAACCAACGACTACGCTTTTCACTTGACTTATGTCTAAGCAAGTTCAAAGTCCTAAGACATTCCCTAATATGTCTATTACGAGAGATATCTTAGTTTTAGGATGGAAATAGTCGCAACCTCGGGTTAAGGTCCTATGTATAGGCTACTTAAGCGGAACCCTTATGTCTAAGGCGCTCCTCTCCTCGGTTTAACCACTC